TCAGAATTACTGTTATCTCTTTGTTTATATATACTAGTATCACGTGTCTGTGATTGCTGTACTGATTGATCTGACGTAACTTTTGAATAGATTCATATGTGTCTTATTCATTTTTGTCGTCAATTTTATCATCAATACGCAGATCCGAATGATTATCAGCCTGAGGCTGTAATCTCGTGGATGTTTTTACGGTTTTAACCTATTAGCATGAACTAATGGTTTCATTAATTTGTGTGACTGCAGTTCACATAATTTGTACGTATCATTTGATCCGCACCGTACTATGTAATAAGGGCCCATTCATTTCGGTTCCAGTTTCTTTTTCTTACCGGACCGAATCTTTATTATTTTTAAATAAACATGATGTCGAACTACAAATTTTGGAATCTTTGACTTTTTATCATAATATATTTTACTCTTTAATTGCGCCTCTTCCATATTCTCTTTAGCCGTATCATGGATAATTTTGACCTTTTTAATCAGTTCATCAATGAACTGTTTGGGTGCTTTTTCCATTTTTTGTGTGGGGATCAATTGAGTTTCGATAGGTAAAGTCATTTCTTTCCCAAATAGGACATAATAAGGCGAATATCCTATAGATTGGGTGACTGGCGTCATTCGGAATGCCATCATTACACTAGGCAACACTTCATCCCACATGTCCTGTTTATTGGAGCATAACGCTCTCAAGGACTGGGCTATAGTAGCATTTACTCTTTCGCATAATGAGTTGGTTTGTGGGTGATAGGAGCTAGTATAACTTCTAGCTACCTTGAATACTTCACAAAGTGAACTCACTATACGCGATAAGAAACTTGCTCAACGGTCACTCGTTAAGTATGACGGGCAACCATATCGTGTGAAGATCTCTTTATATAGCACGTCTGCTATATGTTTTGCCTCCTGATTTTTCAGGGGGAAGCACTCCGACCAGTGACTCAGACTGTCTGTGACCAAGAGGATAACTGAATTCCCAGAACGGGATTTGCATAATCCTTCAAGGATATCGACATGAATACGTTCGAAAACGTTTACCACTGGCATAGGATGTCAGGGCGCTCGCATTTGTGGACTTGATTTTACTTCCTGACATGTTTTACACGATGTCACGTAATTGTAAACTTGTTGATACATGCCAGGCCAATAATATTTAGCTTTTATAGCTTCATAACTCTTAATAACACCTCGGTGGCAAGAACTATCGTGAAATGCAATTAATATGCTATTTCGTAATTCTTCTGGTACTGAAATTTGCAATAAAACTTCTCCCCTGTTTGTTTTTTGTTTAGCGCGGGGTTGAAAAACGTGATATAAAACTTCATTAAGCATTTCATACTGCATGCTTTCATAAGGAATATTTTTCTTTTTATCTATATTATCTGGTAATATACCTTCCACTAGATACTCATAGATGTATTTGAAATATGGGCATTGTCTCTTTTTTATCCCTATATATTTTTGCAACGGTATCTATGTATGCGATGTTATTAATAGTTGGTAATTCAGAGACTTGGAAATCATTTTCTGAATGAATTAGAGTTATCTTAAAAATTTGTCCTGGAGGAATGGGTGCATCGTTTGAAAGATCAATACTCTCTATTTTAGATTTCATGGTTATTTCATTTGTACAATCTTCCTGATTGTTCGATTCATATTTTCTCCTAGATAATGCATCAGCATGGATATTTTTGCTTCCACTTTTGTGATATACTTCAAAATTGTATTCTTGTACTTGTAAAGCCCATCTCATTTTCCTTCGGGAATTATTTTTGATAGTTTTCAACCAACATAATGCTTTATGATCAGTATATACAATAAATTTACTGTTTGCCAAATAGACATAAAAGTATGAAATACCTTTGACCAGTGCTTGAAGTTCTAATTCTGTAACAGAATAATTACGTTCAGCCCTTTTTGTCAGAAACTATTCAATATAATTTTTATATCAGATATAAATCACAAGAGCAATCAGGTGGTCAGTTACTCGAATTTAATTAATATTACACGACAAATTATACTTATGTGTGTTATGCAGTAATGCAAATTTATTGACAAAAATGGCCAAAAACTGATCATCAACTTATAACCTATAAAGAAATTTTGGATAAATATAGTTTTTCGCTTGAATGTTGAATTCGGTTATTGGTGTCAACGTGATGATTTCAAATAGAAAAATAAAGATTCAGTTAAACTTTCATCTTATACTATTGCAATTTGCAATGATGAAAAAGCAATAATCACAAAGGATACATGTATATAACAGTAAAGTTGTATAATACAGTGTTTTTGACTTGCATGACATGTCTCATTTTTTAAATTTCGTTCAGAAATATTCAAATTTGATTCTTTTTTTTTATACAAATAATTTATTTATTAATTTTTTTTTATTTATTTTTTTTTAAACTAGTGTTTTAGTAGAGAAAAATATAGTAAAAACAACAGTCTTACCGTACATGTGAATACAAAATTATACAAGTTGGCAATACAATTACTGTCCATAGATAATATTGCAACTATTGCTAGAAAAATTTAATATTGTTCATGTGTGGTTTAATAGTCTCTTCTGGTTTTTTCCTTCGGGTTGTCACACAGTTGTGTATTTGTAACTGATGGTATCTGTCGCCATAAGAATTGGACGAATCGTCATGGTAAAAATAGTTTCGTTTTGAGATTCGGGCTCACTGAATTGAGATTCTGTAGTTCCTATCTTTCTAGTGGCGATTGGCTGGTATGATATTGTTCCTAACATCACATAGGTAAAGTCTTATGAATTGGTTTAGGGTACTGTTTGTCTTCTATTTGTGTATTATCCGTGTATTACAGACCGTACTGAGACCTATAATGGTTTACTTTTATAAATTTTGACTTGCATGGAGAGTTGTCTCATTGGCACTCATACCACATCTTTTTATATCTATTGAAATATTTTTGTGATAGTTTAAACTTGTAGCAGCATTCATTATACTCCTCAAGGTTGATAAATTTCTGTCTCCACCTGTGGTATTGAAAATTTCTTCAAGGTCGTTTGCATCGTTTCTTCCTTTGTTGTTATAAAGAAGGTTCGAGTCCTCTACCAGTTGTTGTGAAGGATTTTATCTTCGTTGTTGGTGGTTACTTCTCATGGGGATCACTTGTTAAGATGGGACTATGATTGTACTTGAGGACTTCTATATTGATAAACATGATGGTAATTTTCCTTCACTCGCTTGCCAAGTTCTCCTACGGTTCTTGTAGATAGAGAAATGTCTGGCTTTCTGGGGACTACATGTCTTTGTTATGGACTGGCTTGGCAGCGAGAGTGGGACGCGCCTTCCGACCTTTTTAATAGAATAAAAGGAGAGAACTCAATTCTGCTGGTAGGAAAATTATGTTAACGGGAACCTAATTATTTTTCTTTTATAGGTCCCGTTGAATACCTGACATCATTTTCCTCCCGGTCAAACTGAGCCTTTCTGCAAATAATGTAATTTGTTGCCAAAATATTTGTTGCTTCAAAATATGCAAAATGCATTTATTTGTTTTTGAAAAGCATCAGGATTATTGTTTCTAAAATTAAATAGAATAATATTCGGAAATAATTTCAATTTCTGATCTTTATAATAAAGGATAATTAAGATTTTGTTAAATTTTAATTATTATCTTGTATACATCAATCTTCTTATCTCAGCTTTTTGATTGGTTATTAATAACATTATTGTGTGCCTTAATGTATTACTGAATATTCATGATGCTGAAGCTTATCTACAATTCTGTGAATATGGTTTTAACCTTGGATTTTATAGCAATTCTCAAAATCAACTGTCCAGCAGGCAACCTAATAACCCTCTGTACGTGTGCTAAATAACTTGTTTAATAAGGTTCTTGAATTTATTACTATTTTATGGTTATCCTGTACCCCCAGAGAATGCTTGTTAGTCTTACAAACCATGTATTTTTTCAATTTATTGTATTTTCCTGTATCAACGAATTATCTGGCATTTATATTCTCTTTTTACTTTTACTTATCTTAATAAACTAGAAATATATTTATTTTGTTTTACTAAGATCTATTTTATTTCAATTTCTAATTATTTCTAATAGCGTCATAAATCCTTTCATAACACAAACACTATGTAAATTTCATTGTGCTCAAATTGAAATTGAAAAAGAAACTACAGAACCATTATTCCTATTCTAATGCATAACAAAAAGAATTAATGCATAAGATCTTAAAAAATGTATAAAATAAAAATAAAATAAAATAAAAAAAAAAGAATGATCTTGGCGCATGAACGTCATGTCAAAACATGACGTCATTCGAATGATAACTCTCAAGTTGAAGATTATTCCGGTACGTGTACGCTCTAAAATACGAATAATATCGCATTAAAATTCAGTATTGAGGGAGGTGTTTATTTTCTATTTTATTGAATCATTCACACATTCATGGATTTCAGCAAGTGAACCTATTGCGGCTCACTACATAGTTACGACATGTCAACTGTGGATTTGCCAGTAAATACATGTAGAAGCTAACGAAAAATAATATTTGGGTTAAGAATTTTATTGATTAAACACCTTTTTTTCTAGCGGTTACTTACGAAATAATTCATGCGAGCCTTATATTTATTTGAAATTTGTAGCTTTTATCTTACAGGAGGTAAAATCGAACAGCCATACAAACGGCAATCTTACCTTTGCTTCAATTTTTCAAAATACCGTATTTGTCCTATTAGAATCGAAATAACTCATTCAAGCCAAAGATATGTGATCATTTTCACAAGGCCTGGACCGTTACTTTTGTTAACTTCATCCATCAATAACGCAGGAGATAAAATTCGAATTAAACGGCATACTTAATTATGGCAATGTAAAAATTTCCAAAAAATCTATGGCTTGAATGAAATAATTCCTTAGTATAACAAAAAGACCGATCTCCAAGGTAAATTCAAAAAGGGGAAGTCCATAAAAAAAATGACAAAATCATTTGAGTTGGGTATTTTGTTATATACTTTCTTATCTACCCTAATATATACGTGAAATTATTTTACAGCAATGCATTTGGTTCGGTTGTGCAGACCATATCCGGGTTTGATAAACAAAGAAGTAAAGGTTATTAATACCTGGTCAAGTCACACAGCTTCAACATCAACTGTTGTTAGAAATGACCCGTCATTACCAAGCGAGATCAAACCGTTCAGCGCAGTACCTGGACCAAAAGGACTGTATAGTGTTCCATACATTGGAGCTGCTCTACATTTTAAACCTTTCAGTAAGTTAATATCTTTGTACATGTATATTTGGAAGGTAATAAGAGGGTATAATGAAATGTTTTGAAAATATATTCAAGCATGTATAGTAAAAAATAAGTTTTTCGTCAATATTTTGAATATGCCAAACTCTAAATCGTATAAAATCTAAATCAGTTAAGAATAATAATAAAAAAAAATATTGGAAAAACAAAACTCAAAAACAAACCTTGAAAATAGCAAACCTTTTCAAGATGGCACAAGCAAGGCATTGGTGAGGTCCTAAACACACGACTATATGGAGGGAAAAATAGTTGTTAGTTTTCTCACAACCATTTTCTTGAATAAGTCTCGATCAGTGGATGACAAAATGCACCCAAAAGAACACTAAAAAAAAAGAAAGGTATAAAATTGAAGTTTACTTAAAAGTTCATTTAATTTGAATTATGATTGTTCAACAATTTAAAGCAATTTTATCATTTCAAACGACTATAGTCAAATCTTTACTTATACAAAACAGCAACCATGTAGACTAAAAGTTATTAATTCACGGTACCAATTTTTCTACACCAGATGCACATATCGATAACAAATGCCCTCTTAAGTGTTGCTCGAGGCTCATATTGCTAATATTTAAGTAACTCAGTGTTGCTCGAGGCTCCATATTGCTAATATATTAGTAACTCAGTGTTGCTCGAGGCTCATATTGCTAATATTTTAGTAACTCAGTGTTGCTCGAGGCTCATATTGCTAATATTTTAGTAACTCAGTGTTGCTCGAGGCTCATATTGCTAATATTTTAGTAACTCGGTGTTGCTCGAGGCTCATATTGCTAATAGTTTAGTAACTCGGTGTTGCTCGAGGCTCATATTGCTAATAGTTTAGTAACTCGGTGTTGCTCGAGGCTAATATTGCTAATATTTTAGAAACTCGGTGTTGCTCGAGGCTCATATTGCTAATATATTAGTAACTCGGTGTTGCTTGAGGCTCATATTGCTAATAGTTTAGTAACTCGGTGTTGCTCGAGGCTCATATTGCTAATATTTTAGTAACTTGGTGTTGCTCGAGGCTCATATTATAATATATTTTAGTAACTTAGTGTTGCTCGAGGCTCATATTGCTAATATCTAGTTTTATTTGCAATGGGTTGCTTTACCTTTGTCAGAATTTTATTCAGTGGAAGGCAAGTGTATCTGATTTTTGTTAGATTTGATTTCATTACTGTTGCTGCTGTATTTAGTTTTATACTGTTTGTATTTCATATGTTCAGCAAAGTATTCAGCAAATGAAATCAACGACCTTTTAACTGATTTGAGGAAAAAATATGGAGACATATTCAAAATGAAGTTTGGAAAAGATTATATGGTCTACATAAACCACCCGGATGATGCAAAAACAATATTACAAGCACACTATGAATTACACAAGAGAATATCATTTGATCTGAGTGAAACCTTGGCTGAAAGAGAAAAAGTCAACAAAGGACTAATTTTATTGTGAGTAAAAAGTAAAATGACAAAAATACCGAACTCCGAGGAAAATTCAAATCGGAAAGTCCCTAATCAAATGGCAAAATCAAAAACTCAAACACACCAAACGAATGGATACCAACAGTTATATTCCTGACTTGGTACAGGCATTTTTAATTAGTTATTTTGAAAATTTAACAAAATGGTTTCTCTACACAATAAGAACACGAAGAAAGAAGATATGGACAAACAAAAAGCAAACTAACAAGACTAACCAACGATACAAAATACAGTGTACTGTTACATACAAAACACATATAGAGGTAGTCCCATAACAGTGTGGGACAACCGTAATGATTAATACCGAATCATTTACCTTTAACTTGTTTGTCATCGGCTATCGATAACAATGATTTTACGCCCACTCGGTCCGTCAGAGGCCTTCCAGTGGGGATTTAAGTCATCGCTTGTTTCACATTTCGATACATAAAATTAAACATTCTTTCTGCAAAATTTAAAAGGAATTTTTTTTTATCGTCACACCCAACAGTTTCACTTGAAATAACAATAAATGTGCAGAGCTATAAATATCATTAAATTATAGAAAAATATATCAAATGTAACACATTTTTATTTTGAGCCATCCTAAATTTTACGGTAATATTGTACTTAAAGCGCGGAAATTATTATGTGATCCGTGTAAACTCATCGAACCTTTAAACAAACTTATTAGTAAAGGTTATCTTACCAATGTTGTAATTAGATCTTTGAATATAGTTTACATTGGCACTAATATCGATTTTGTCATCAGCAAATTAAAACATAACTAAATTTGTATTTTTTTCAAGCGGGATGTATAAAGACACACCCACGTTCGTTTAGATCTATAAAGAGGTTAAACTCCTAACTATCCTACTGTCTGTCGATACATTTATTTTTGGCATTGCACTAGTCATGTCTTCTTTGACTGTCCATGACGTTAAAATACTAAATCCCTGGGATGTGTTTTAGTTGATTTTAGTCTCTGATGCATGATTTTTTATTATTAATTGTTCTGGCTTTTAACTAGCTGTCAGTAACTGCGAGTACTCTCAAATCGTACTTTCTTGTTTATTTGACCTGTTGATACTAATTGTATTGCTTTTTTGTTATTTAATGTTATTCAGGGTTATATCTGGTCTATATACCAGCTTTGATACGTGTTTGGTATAACTAAAAAAATTTCACTTCGTACTATGAACATCAAAATTATTTATTTTGTAAAAATATTTCCTTTCTCTATTGGTACTGTACACGTATACCTAACAACAAAATTATTTTCATTTACCTGTGTTTAAAGTTATTGCAAATGGCTGATATTTTTGTTCGAGCATATTGTTTTTCTTTAATTGTTTAACATTTCTTACCGATATAACATGTTACTTTTATTATTCTTCCCTGAGTTTATTTATTTTGTATTTACATTGTGTCATAGGTCAAATTTATTTGTTCAGTGTATGTTCAATGGTGTTAATATGTCCTTTGATTGAGTTAAGCTATTTCAGTTGATATTTTATAGTGTTTCTTTCTATGTTGTGATGTTACACTATTGTTTCAGAAAAAGGGTGGAGGTTTGGTACCATTAAAACGTTTAAACCCGCTGCATTTGTTTGCACCTGTCCTAAGTCAGGAATCTGATGTTCAGTAGTTGTCGTTTGTTGATGTGGTTCATAAGTGTTATATAGATTAGACCGTTGGTTTTCCCGTTTGAATGGTTTTACACTAGTAATTTTTTGGTGCCCTTTATAGCTTACTGTTCGGTGTGAGCCAAGGCTCCGTGTTGAAGACCGTACTGTGACCTATAATGGTTTACTTTTATAAATTTTGACTTGGATGGAGAGTTGTCTCATTGGCACTCATACCACATCTTCTTATATCTATGTGAACACAAATGAAGAACAGGTATAAAGATGAATTCTTTTTTCGGCAGTGTGTTAAAATATATGTTGTATGTCATGCAGTTATAAAAAATTGTAAACACACAGTAGTCCGTCATGCATTGCAACTCATTCAGTGGACTGGTCGGTCAATTGCCCAGTTTGTTACTCTAATCTGAGCATACAACTTCTGCTTTATTGAACGTAGATACAAAAGAAGAAAAAGTGAGTTGTAGGTCAGTGAAAAACACGCGTGTTCTCGGTAAAATACGTAGTAGTCCATCATGCATTGCAACCCATTCAATGGATTGGTCAATTCTCTCAGTCAATAAATATTTCTTATAATGCAAGCCAACAATTATATTAGCGGGAACGTTAGCATGCCAATGAATGATACTTGTACCCGTCCTGGGTAAATGCATTTATGTTTCGGAGAGATGCATACTTTTTAAGAGGTCCTTAATCATTCAGGAAAAAAGACGAAAAAAAACTAATTCAAATCAATTAAGAATTAGGGATAAAAAGAAATACGACACTGAGATTAAAAAATATTGTTCCTGTATGTTCATAAGAAACGAACTAATTTTAAAGATAACTATTTCATAAAGTAAATGAAAATTGTTTTAAGCTAGGTCCAAATACATATAGCTTTTAACAGTCCTATATTTTTGCAAGTACGAAAAAGACCGTACGAAAATAGAGTTTTTTTCATTTTTTTTTTTGTTACACCACGATTTAAAGTTATCATGCATTGTTGGTTTAAAAATGAAAACATTTAGACAAGATAAAAGTTAAAAGATACGAAGAACCAGTACAAATTTTAGAAAGCGACAATTGTTAAATCGCTTTTAAGTCCGAAAAAGGTTATTGCTTACACATTCATTTCTACTTTTGAAACTAGTGAAATTTTTGTTTAATGCTTGAAGAACGTGCGGTATGATAAATAATTTGACTATCGATCGTCGATGAAGAATGTCAAAATATTCAATGCTAATCAATACCCCTGTAGAATTTTCGATTTTCTTGTTTTCGGGCGTTGAGAAACCTTTGGTGACCCCGTACGTTTAAATGTCCCTTGTAAAAACAACGTTTTAAGTAGGCGTAACAGACAAACGGTTACCTAATCTTATCCAGTCAATTAGAGAATTGAGCGCGCCAACGAATGGTCTCGTCCACACTGTTATGAAATTGATTCTTATATATTTTGATTATATTGCTTAAAATTTTGTTTATGATATTTTTATTGTACCAACGTCTATAAAATAGATTTTTTTTTCATGCAGAGCAAAACAAATTAATTCTAAAATGTATTATGTGTAGCCTATTGCATTAACGCGTTTAATCAGCAATCACACAATTCGAATATGATACACAGAAATGGAAAAGAATGGGCGGATCTGAGAAAACCGACACAGGAGAAAATGTTACGACCAGCTGTTGTAGCAAGTTATGTCCCTTTGATTGAAAAAGTTACAAATGACTTTGTTGACAACTTAAAGAAGAAAAAACAAGTAGATGACCTGTTATGGGAATTGAATAATTACACAACTGAAAGTAAGCAATTTAAATAAACTAAAAAGAAAAAAAACCAATGACTATATATAAATTTGAAAAAAATCTGATGAAAAACTAGCGACTAACTCCACTGTAAAATAAGATATGAAACGGATATTTCATCAGTCTTTTGGTTATCAACAGCAGTAAATGTCAACTCTGCAAGCAATAAGAAAACTATCTTGATTATTAATAAACTGAGAATTTCATGATGAAAAAAGCAAAGGCTTCCACTAAAAAAAAAAAATAATCAAAGATACCAGACTTATAACTTTATACATAAGACGCTCGTTTCACCTTCACAATTCTCATCAGTGTTGTTCCAATAAAAAATTAAAAGAAAAGCAGAAAAAGTACAAATTTACAGTACACATTTATAGCAATAAAACCGCCGCGTAACACATCAGCTTATTTTTACAAATGTTTAAAACTGTCTCAGGGAATGAATAATTACCAATATTTAAATTATAATAACACTCTATCGCTCGACACGATGTGCAAATTCTATACAAAGCAGTAGGCTGTACAGTAATGTTTAATAGCATTTATTACAAAAAGTACCAGTAGATACCAATGAATAGTTCCAAACTCGAAGTCATAAAGCAAAATAAATCAACAAATCATTACATACAAGATTAAGATTGAACAACACTACCCCAATAAAAACTCTCCAATTAGACAAATGATCGGGGTCAGCGAATCACCTACTTAAATGATTAAAATATTTATTTATCAGCAAAATTTGATGATGATGTCTCATTGTCCAGCAATTTGTCACTTTAAAAACAAACAAAAATATTCAATATTTAATTATTCAACGTCATGATCAATGATATTTCGTTAAGACCTACATGTGTTTTTGGTTTATTTTCGCACATTGACGTTTATAATAATTTAATCAGTGCACAAACATGTCCCTTTGTCCAGATCATACAAGAGCTCTTAAAATCGACATGGTTATTGATAACCTATTGGATACGTAAATATCTAATAATGGTTTAAGGCGCTATTGTGTACTATAAAACATGAAAATATTTTGATATAATTACACTTAATTATACTAAGTCTTAGTTTTACTTATAGAATTAAGATGCGTTTGCCAGTCAAATGACCTCCACTAAGAAATCTAAAAAAGAGATGCGCACAAATGTTGAAATATCTACACACAAATGCATTTCACTGAACTTTGTACTCGTTTGAATATTTGAAAGGATTAATTCTATATCGTGTACTGTGGATTCATTTATTTTCGTGGATACCAATTTTCGTGGAATTAGGAAAACTTCCACGTTCGTGGTTGTTTGATTTCATGGTTTTGCCAATGTCTGTATAAAAGCCTTAAGAACATTTGTAATTCGTTGTACACTTGATGTTTGTGGTTCACCCATACCCACAAATCCCATGAAAATCGACAACTTTCGAGTTCGATTCATTTCCGTCAAAAACTTTGGTTTCAGAGAACATCATTCGTGTATTTAGGGGCATCGTCACTTCCGTTCCCATGTTGAGCCAGTGGTTAGAAAAATATGACGCTATATTGCACAAATTATTCTGCAAATTAAATTCTTATAATTGACAATCAGCACTGCTGTCATTAGGGAAATGTGATTAAGTACCTACGGAACAAACATTATTTCTAGTTTATCCTGCACAATGAAGACCAATAAGACGCTTGATGAACGTTAATAGTGCAGAGATACAGGCGATCCCCTTTTTCTGTTAAATGACATCATAAAGGCGCGCATAATTGACGATTTTTCCGGTGAAGGACATAACTCGAAAGTGGTCTATTGGTATTCAACGAATACTAATGAATCAACAGTATAATTTATAGGTTTTCAAACCAAACAAAAATATATCGGATGACTTCATTGAAGTTTGTCTAATCATTTTTCAGGTGTTGGTATGTTGTGTTTCAACAAACGACTTGGATGTTTAGATGAAGGCACAGATAGTCCAGCAGAAGTAGCAGTGGCAATGAGAAATATATTTGACATGTTGCAAAAGTCCTTTTTCATGCCGGTAAAAATGTACTTGTACTTCAAAACACCATTTTATAAACGATTTGAACAGGAAGGCAGAAAATTTATGGAGTAAGTTTTATAAGGCACATTCTTTGTTGATATATTTTTTTCTGCTATCGACAACGTATTTGTTGAGGTTGATGGGATGGTATTGAGCAGTTTGCAGAAAGGCAGTATGCAAATGCGTTCTTATAGTGCACAACTACTGGTCGACTATTTTGTATTCTGTTATGAAGCAGAATTCAGACTTTGCACCTAGAAATCTTCTTTTTATAATATTTTATTACATTCTGAAGCGGTCAAGAAGCCAGAAAGCGACCGGTGTTTACGTTTGATGCCTGAAGCATACCTATTACGTAACCTTGTTTTTGGCGCCAATGAAGATAACATCATTTCGTGGAATTTTCGTTTAATGAAAATGGTACACTGAAATAATGACTAAAATTTAATGATTCGCCAGGTAAACGAAATTTGCGACAGAAAATTACCGATAGACGTCCACAAAGCTTCAAATACAATAGAGTTATCTATTTAAACTGTTCACTAATGTTTCAATTCAGAAAGTTGTTGCTTTTAATAAGGTAAATTAAACACTTACTTAACAGTTTGAACACAGAATGAACATAACACAATTGTCTACAAGCGAATTCTCTGAATAGTACTGAATTGTCAATGCCCGCAATGGATGAGTCTGAAAATGACCTTGAAGACTGAAATGACTTAACAAATTTCTAATCAGTCTTTAAAGAGCTATAAAAATCAAAATTATTGAATTACTTATGTTTGTTACCTTGAGTTTTCTTTTCTTAATCGATTTACGAAACTTGAAAATCGATAAACTAATATCGCCTTAATTTAATTTTATGTCCGATATCTTGTAATTTATTTAACATGGTTGACTAGGAAAAGAATGCCATAGAAATTAAATTGAGGTAAAACTATTTTTGTAATTTATTTATAGACTTTGTTAAAGGCGTTTTCTAAAGAATGCAGAAGCAGGTTGCAAATTGACTTCATGAATTTCGAAAACGTTCTGCCTTGGAATTTCGTACCATATGCATTGTATACTTGCGAATGCATATTCATTTGTTTCACTCACCAAGGAGACCTAGGCGGCCGAGTGATCTGAATAGTCGAACTACTATATAACTAGCCTGTCAACACTGAGATTGAGTGCAGGTGCGCTTCACTCCAATCTTAATTGACTAGGATTGTCAGGGCTCTCCGGCTGCCTCCACTTATAAAACGCACCGCCATGCAATAGCACAATAGTGCTGAAAGTGGTGTTAAAACATCAATTACATGTAATCAATCAATAATTAATTTTCACTGACTTCAAACTTTGAAATTGAATGTTTTCAAATTATTTATGAACGGAAAATGTTTCAGTTGTATATGATATTAATTCAACAGTTTTCATATAATTAGTTTACTCATTTTTCAGAGTTGTTTCTACCGAAACAGCATCTCAAAATGCATTTTTAGCAAAGCTTAAAAATGAAGGTAAACTAGAGGAATATCTTGAAAAAGAACCCAATTTCATGTATTCGTTATTGGCTGATGGGAGATTATCAGAAGAACAAATAAGCAGTATTGTCAGTGATTTGTTCGGTGCAGGTATAGACTCGGTAAGTCTCGTCTTAAGTCAATAGTAATGTAAACTATTATTTCAGTTGCCTGTTTGAGCATCGTAAATCAGCTTTTTTCTCGTCTCTATATAAAAAAAAAATGAACACAACACGTTATAAATTCCATGCGTCCGAAGCGCTTTTCTGGATTTACCTTTATCAGGAACGCCGAATATTTGAAAGACAAGGCTGTATAAGGACCGAAAACTATGAAGAGCTATAACCCAAAAAGGACCTAAAAAAAATAGCCAAATCTATCTAAGGCCTACTTTGCATGAGGGAGTTGAAACCTTAGTTTCTGTATAATTTCAAAATTTATGAACGGGAAGCTATATATGAGGGTCGTAATAGGGGTACCTTAATGACTAATAACGGTAAAAGTTCTTGCCAAATGACGTTAACGGTAATTTTTGGTGCATGACGATAAAATGTACAGTTTCTTTTAGACGATAAAGAAATGGACTTTTTGACGAATCACGTTATTTGTTTTCAAAAATAACGGTAACGATAATTATTCGAGATCTCTGACGAATCACGATAAGGATATTTTGACGAATCACGGTAAAACTTTAACGAATTTGACGCTAACGGTAGCCGAAAATGACCGTTTGACGCCTGACGGTAAAGGGCATTTCTACCCTCAAATATATCTATAGCATGTATAGATGATCTTAATTCCATTTTATCATTGTCGTTATTGTGGTTTTGTGCCTTGTTTTCTATTTTATGGTAAAATGATTAGTTAATACCTTTCGAAATTTTAACTTTTCAAGATAACTTGTACAAAAATTCTTTGTTTCTTCAACGAAAAAAAAAGATAAAATTACTTACGAAGACATCCTCATTAGTATATATTGTCTGCCCATTGGCAGTAGTAACGCTCCGGCCGAAACAATATATATGTGTCTGAAATATAATACAGTTCTTACGTAAGTATATATATCATGATGATGCCCTCGGTATGAGTAGCCATACATCGTGATGTATTAACTATTACCATATTCCATGTACATGTAGACGGGGGTCTAATGGGCTAATGGGCGAATTAAACAAGGAATAAGGTGAATATGTATTAAACATATAACAGTAAAACACAAATGTCGATACAATTTCAACCTTTTGCGTATAGGTATTTACACGAAAAAATGGCTTAAAAAATCAAAATAGTTTCATTTTATTCCCAAGCACGCATACTGGTTATGAACAATTGAATCAAGGAATGTTAGCCTTTAAGGTAGATGGGGTGTCTAAATTATAATCCATAGAATTTTTTAATAATTTGCCAAATCGTAGTTTATATCATGCTCTTTAAAAAAAAATGATAAAAAGAATGGGTCACGGGGCTTATTTTCACGCTACAGGTTGTTCAAAATTAACAGATTTTGTATAGATTATGCATGGAAAACCCAATTTTCTGCCATAAAACGAAAACTACACCATAGAATTTTGAGAAAGAATATGAGAAGATAGCTTTAATAGTATGCTTTCAGATAAGAAAAAGAAAAAATGGGGTCACCGGACCCGTTTTCTTGCTACATAATAAAATAGGTAAATTCCTAACACATTCTATTGTAAAAGTGCCTTTATCTGAATTATCTGCCCTTACATTTGAGTTGCCTCCCCTTATGTGGCAAAGTTGGAAAAAATTGAATCAAACAAAAGTTTTCTGTTTTTTTGTAAAACACAGCCATAAATATGATAAAACATGTCATTTTCTATATTGAAATGGAAATTCTTACACATGAATTACCTACTACTCTCAAAATTTGCACATTCTATTAAAGATCTAGACCGATTGTTTTCAGGTATTACAAAATCCAAGATGGAGGAAGACACCCTATCTACCTTAAAGACAAAAATCATCAAAATATAAATTTATCGGAACTAGTTCAAATATCCTGTGTTAGAGAATATAATATTTCCAATATACACATGATGCAATTTTTGTCTTGTTTTAGACTGCCAATACATTAGTTTTCCTATTAGCTCAACTAGCGCTTAATCCAGATAAGCAAGCTAAGTTATATGATGAAATCCAACAGGTAGTAGGAGACAGTCAACGTCTGACCAAAGAACATTTAGCAAGGATGTCTTATTTAAAAGCGTGTTTGAAAGAATCACAAAGGTACACATAGCTTAAATGAGCGGTATTGATTTTTTACAATTTGTATATAACTCATCTGTTAGACCAATACTAGTTTCTCATTTCGTTGTCATCTGAGTGTTTTAAATTCAGCATGCTCTTTTCTTGTTTTGCTATATACAAGCTACCTGATTTCATACCGGCACTTATTATTTGTATACGAAGGTCCTGAACGCCTTCATAAATATATCAACATGCGTGTGCATCAAATGAGTACATATATGCATTTTAATTAAATATATTATCAAAACATCTCTTTATGATTCATTTTAAAGTTACGACACAAGAGTTGACAAGGTAAAATATTGTTCAATGTATTTGATAACGATAGCTGCAGCAACTAAAACGACAACGAATCAATAACCCGACTGGATTATTTACAATGGGATATGGATGGATTTAGAGACTAACCAATACCTACACAAAAATGGTATACAAATAAAAACATCAATAACTAGGTTCCTGATTTCGATCGTAGTTCAATAGGTGCCTCATTAGCAATTATACAACTTATCCTGATTACTATATATAAAAGCATCAACATTAAATGTGATGGACACATACAGAATATTACAACCTTGAAAAATATGGTTCTGATATACATCTATGTATGTACCTAATTGTCTGATATATTATTGCCAACAGCCTTTGAACAACTAGAAATGGTTTCTTTTCAAGAACAGATTTCAGAAATTGGTATTGAATAAAAGCTGCAAGTAAATAACCAATAATTTAATTCGCTTAAATGTGACAAGGTAAAAATTGATTTTTTTAAATATCGCTTTGCAAGCTATGCCAGCTTTGCCTGTAGTTCCACTTATTAATACAAAAAGTGTTGGTAAATATATACATGTATATGATCCTGTCTTGGTACATGTACATTTCTTATCGCTATAGGAAAATTTTCCCGATATCATTTGGAGTATTACGAATACTAGAGTCTGATCTTGTCGTCGGAGGATACCAGATGCCTAAGAACGTAAGTTTGAGTTCACAATAGTGCATGTGATTAAAAAAAAAGAGAAGAAAAAGAATAACATATACACAACCAAATATAATATAATCATGTGTAACGTGTGTACACAAAATGTGCATCCATTATTTAATTAATTCATTTTGTAAACATGTATTCAAGATTATCAAATATCGTAATGAGATATCCTTTTACTGAAAAAAAAAGTAAATAAGAAAAAAACATTGCTATTTTGTAATAATCATTTTACTTATTTTTCACGTGCTCTATGATTCTTTGTTGATTGTCATGATCGGTAAACTTCGGCAACAAAACCTGAAATTTAATTAGGAGTCGCTTTATTAAATTCCTCTTTATTGGAATTAGAGATGACACTTTTCATATGGCTTTTAATATTTTCTAGACAATGATTGCAATTAATAATAGATCGATGGCAATGGATGATAGATTTTATAACCGACCAACCGAGTTCCTTCCTGAAAGATGGCTAAGAGAAACAACTGGCGAGATAGCAAAAAGCAAAGAGTTTCCGTTTGCGCACAAACCTTTTGGATTCGGACCAAGAGCTTGCATTGGACAAAGATTTGCTGAAAATGAAATTTTCATTGCAGCTACAAAGGTATTTAAATAAATCAATATATTTATATTCACACAGCTACATAACATGTATGTTATTTTTACTTAAAGTTGAGATGTTTTTTTTTATATAGTATCGATGTGACAGAGAATGAGTAAAACAATATAATAATAATAATAATAATAATAATAATAATAATTATTATAGTAGTTATAATAATAATAATAATAATATTGATACCATATATGATTTCCTTTTTTAGCTCACCTGGCCCATAGGGTCAAGAGAGCTTTTCTCATCACATGGCGTCCGTTGTTCGTCGTAGTCTGTCGTGGTCCGACGTCGTCCGCCATCGTCCGTCGTCGTTAACTTGTACAAAAATCTTCTCCTCTGAAACTGCTAATTCAAATTTAACAAAACTTACCCACAATCATCATTAGGGTATAAAATTTTAAAAATGTGTCCGATGACTCCGCCTGCCAACCAAGATGGCTGCAATGGCTAAAAATAAAACATAGGGAAAAAATGCAAGTTTTGTCTATTATTTTGAAAACGTTCTAAATAGAGAAAATCTAACAGGGCAGAAATGTTCAGAATGTTGAGTTCTAACAATTGTCGATATATGTCAAAACTGCCACACGACTTCTTATAGGAGTTATTGTCCTTAAATGACAAATTTTACCATTTTTTTCATTTATTCCTATTATCATGAAAACGATAATAGATAGAGAGAAACTTATATTGCAAAAATTATCAACAAGACAAGTTCTACAAATAACTCTTGCGGTTGAAATTGTTAGTCGACTCATTTTTAGTGTTATTGCCCTTTGATGACGATTTTTTTACCAATCTTTAGCGTTTTTGCATTATATTCAAAATATTATAACAAATAGACCGAATCTTAAATAAGCAAAAATTATCAGCAATACAAGATGTGCAATTAAGACAAAGGAAGGAATTCGTCCGACGAATCCTTATTGGAATTATTGACCTTTTAATGGCGATGTTTAGAAATTTCTTTGCGTTTTGTCTTATATGATAGAAATTATAGCAGATAAATAGACATTTTTATCACAAAAAATTATCAGAAAGGCAAGATCTACTAAGAAGACAAAATTTGCCGATATAGTTAGTTGACTGCCACTTTTTATAGGAGCGATTGCCCTTAAATGAGGATTTTTTATCCTCATTTGTGTTTTGAGCAAAAACGAAAGAAGATAGAGAGAAACTAAACAGACTAAATGATCGGCAATACAAGATCAACAAAACAGAGATTTTTGTTATGAATTCTATTATCGTCTACAATGTTGGAGAGTGTCCTTTGTTGAATATGCATGTATATCAAGGTGAGCGACACAAGCTCTTTAGAGCCTCTAGTTTCATTTGACATTTGTTTTTTTGAAGATTAGCACACATATTTGATGAATGGTCTTTAAGAACTTTGTATGATCGTAATTGTGCCAACAATCTTCCTAACATATATCACCGTATACCTGTCTGACAACGTTTACAAAATATTGAAATTGCTTAATTATGACTTTTCCGCAAGTGTAAATTAGTCAGCAGCAAGAATTTTTCGTTTTCATTGTACTATAGTAGAGTTGATTTTGGATGTTTATTGGGAGACCGAGTGAGTAATACATCCGGTTCAAGACTTTAATACTGACTTTTGCTGCTTACCTGCTATGTACGATTTGAATTGACATTCCAAATTGGTTGTTTCTTGGTGAGGATTCTAAGTATTGTTAAATTTCTATGTCCTCGTGTGAACTATTACAAATGTACCTTGTGCTTAAAAAACTGTCTTTAGAAACGAATGTAATGTGTTGGTCTTATACAGTACAGTGTAGTTTCATATACTATTTCATGTATTTAGCATGTTTTATTTCTTGCATATGCATCTATTATTTGGCGAGGACATTAAACTTCATTCATATGCACATGATTTATGCGTCTGCTATCTGGGTATTATGCTATTGATGACATTTCTTAGATAGATATAAGAAGATGTGGTATGAGTGTCAATGAGACAACTCTCCATCCAAGTCACAATTTTTAAAAGTAAACCATTATAGGTCAAAGTACGGTCTTCAACACGGAGCCTTGGCTCACACCGAACAGCAAGCTATAAATTTCCCCAAAAAATGACTAATGTAAAACCATTCAAACGGGAAAACCAACGGTCTAATATATATAAAGAACGAGAAACATTTATGAACCACATCAACAAACGACAACTACTGAAGATCAGATTCCTGACTTAGGATAGGTCTGTTTCTACTGTCCATTTTCTATGTAGAAACATTCCAGCAGCGCCTGCATATGGAGTATACATCTCCCTGTTGAAACGATATTTCAGGGCTTACATGTCCTATTATGATTTCCTTGAAAAAGGGTTGCTGCTCACAAGGAAGCTATTAAAAAAGTGTTCCAAGTGGGGAAGTTGAAATAATGTTTTCGTAAATTTTACGGACGCCGTTGACCATTATGGAATATCTGCTTCACAGATGACGGAGTATATTTTTATAATTGTCGTAACTGCAATCCCGTTCGCCTTTTCTCTGAATGTAACTTACCGAATAAGACTTATCACCAGGTTTGTCCTAACATGAGCAACAAGACGGGTGCTACATTCGGAGCAGGATTCGCTTACCCTCCCGGAGCACATGAGACCACCCCGACTGTTGATTGGGTTCGTGTTGTTCAGTCTTTAGTTTTCTATGTTATGTTAAGTGTACTGTTGTTTGTCTTTTGGTTCTTTTTTGCCATGCATTGTCAGTATATTTTCGACATATCAGTTTGGTATCTTTCAGCTCTGTTTCATTTTATTTCAAAACAACTCGATATTTTGATTTTGACATGTTTGACGAGAATACATATACCTCTTGATTTGGGGTTTGATATGACATGTCGTCGGATAGACTGTCTTTTTAAAGTAAACCCCGCATTTTCATTTTTATATAGCAATCAAGCAGTTAATATTTAAACAACATTTTGGTTTTTTTCCAGATTGTTAAGAATTTCCAGGTTTCTATGCCACCGGATGTTAAAGATATAAAGACAACGTTGAAGATTTTTACAACGCCATCAGAAAAAATAAAGATGAATTTTATGGAACGGCAATAGATAATGAGACAAAAAAAAAATCTCTTCAAAACGAGCTTTTGAAAAGAGAACGGACAATCTAAGCATAAAGGGATAGTTCCAATTTACTTATTTTTACATATTTTTCAATAATATCTGTACTAGTATTTCATCTTCTATAACCGTAAGCGTCTCCATAGTAAAGTAATGAATATATACATATTTATAAAATGTCCAAAAAACCTTTTTGTATTTGGAATAGCCAAAAGGGTGTTTTACACAATTTTGTCTTGCTTTCTTTGTCTTTCGTGTCTTCCAAAAGAGATACAAAAGGACGAATAGGCATGCAATACGGACATAAGACCACTGGACTCACAATCATAACCTGGTTTGACATATAGATGTCTGCTGAGGAACCCTGGGATGAGAGTTGCAGGTGAAGTACGGGAAAAATTGGATAGTGTCAGGGTAGGCGTTTTTCTTAACATTTATGGATATAGGAGATAATGTTTCGACTAACTGATGGTAGAGTGACGTTTAGCAGAAATAAAGCAGTAATTTTAGTATCTTGGTATTTATCTAAATCGTTCATGGTTAAAATATTTGGTTTTTCGATAGGGTGATTTAACGCCATCTTGTTGCTTTTTGTCTATCCTGCCTTAGATTTAGAATGACAACAAGGCATGTAAAACGCAACTAAGACCACTGTAGTCCTAATTATAACATTAATTACACCTACTGTGGCATTATGAGTGGTATACTGGCATACGCATGATTCTTGGAGTCCTGATCATATTCTTGATAGACCTATAGTTATATGGATAACGGTGAAAATATTAAGACTAAATATTAGTTGTGTTACGTACACGTAGCAGAAACCTCGGCAGTTATTTCGTGCTTCAGTATTTCACTGAATAACTAGACAGTGTTTAGGATAAAAACCCACATTATTTTGCTATTGCAATTAATCTGATTATACGCCTATTGTGTTTTCTTAAAAATAAAATTGAGAATGGAAACGGAGAATATGTCAAAGAGACAACAACCCGACCAAAGAGCAGACAACAGCCGAAGGCCACCAATGGGTCTTCAACTTAGCGAGAAAATCCCACACCCGCAGGTGGGCCTCAGCTGGCCCCTAAATAAAAATGTGTACTAGTTCAGTGAAAATGGACGTCTTTACATTCCCTATCTTACGGGAAAGATATAGAACAACTAAAAAACAAACTGCACGTATAGCAAAGACTATTGTAGTTCTAATTATGTTTTTATACACTTATAGGTTACATACTGGGTTACACGAAAGGTCCGCCTGAAGTATGTGAAACATTTATTAGACACTTTGTACATTTATATCGTCCATATAACATCGAATACTTTATAAGTGTATGGATATATATCATACTTAAATCGTCTAAATCTTAATAGGCACATAATGCAGATGCTGAAGATTTAATATGGAGTATTCATGCATTCATATTGTGAAATTGTTAAGTGTATTATTCAATCTTTTGTAATCAAAGAGAGTCGAATGAAACCAAAGGGACATTCCATATCAGAAGTCTAAAACAGACGGATAATGCCATGGATAAATATAAACAAACTATCATAAGACAAACAACAGTATACAAAACACAACATAGAAAAGTACAAACTGAACAATTTGAACCCTACCAAAAACCGGGGCTGACAGCAGGTGCCCTAGAAGGATAAGCAGAAATTGCGCCGCATGTGGCACCCGTCGTGTTTCTCATGTAAGTATAAACCCGATGATAGGTCTAATTCGGTAGTTCACATTCAAGAAAAGAGGACGGGGTTATGGTTACGACATTAGGAACATACCCGTCGTTATTTGAGAAACAAATATTTCATAACGGTCAATATACTCGTGATGAAATCCGTATTACTAAGTAAATAGTTTCTTCAATACTAAATGGATATTCATGAGCTCACAAACATTTTAAGAACTCTTGAAACAAAAATGGTTTCTTATTTTCTATAACAAAATGTTTGTATAACGTTGGTCATTCACGTTGATGAGGTATCTTTGGACTAATACTTTTAGTTTGTCTTAAAATCTTTCCATTACATTATTTGCTGAGTTTCACTTCATTGGAAGCAATGAGTTGTTATCTTCGTAATTGTTAGCTGGTTAAACTGATTATTTGTTTGGTGGGGTTCGTGTTGCTTAGTTTTTAGTTTTCTATGTTGTGTCATCTGCACTATTATTTGTCTGTTTGTCTTTTTATTTTTGGCCATGGCGTTGTCAGTTTGTTTTCGATTTATGAGTTTGACTGTCCCTCTGGTATCTTTTGTCCCTCTTTTGTTACTTTCAAAATGTTTGTAGTTTAAATGGCGTAGCATTTTTGTTTAAATTAGATTGATGTTTGAGTACATACATGCAATTAAATAATTGGATATCGATTTAAAAATATGAAATTTCTAGAAGGAACAAAAAAACTCGTACAAAATAATAAAGATGTGGTTTGACTGCCAATGAAACAAATCTCCACCAGAGACCAAATGACATAGAAGATAACAACTATTATAAGTCATCGTAAGGCGTTCAACAATGAGTAAAACCCATACAGCATAGCTATAAAAGGTCCGAGATGATAAATATAAAAAAAATCGAAACCCCCCCCCCCCCCAAAAAAAAACAAAAATAACAAGTAATATCAGTCGAATTTGATTGATAGTTATTTATCAACGTCTCCAGTCTATATAAAAAAGTCGATTTACTTCATTGCCATTGAAAAATAAGGGTGCTTTAACACGTGTTTCAATATCAATATATCTACATTGTAACTTACGTAAGTACATCTATCACAGCAAAGTGTTTCCTGGTTTCTTAAAAACTAAACTTTAATTATGAAGTAGCTCTATTTTGACGCAATTTTTTCATTATTATTATATACCATAGTTTCACTACAACTATTATAGATGTAGTAGATTTACAATAATGGTTTGTGATTCAGTGATCTATCTGACAATACATAAAAAAAAAACATGTGTATCGTTATTTGTAACTTTACTTAAACACTTTCCGGAGCACCTGAGATCACCCCTAGTTTTTGATTGGGTTCGTGTCGCTCAGTCCTTGGTTTTCTATTGTTATGTTATGTCTTGTGTGCTGTTGTTTGTCTGTTTGCCTTTTATCTTTTTTAGACATGGCGTTATCGATTTATTTTCGACTTTTGAGTTTGAATGTTACTTTGGCATCTTTCGTCTCTTTGAGCAATAAGAAAGCAACTTATATTTTTTTCCGGAGAGGAAGTTTATTCTTGATATAGAACCGTCACACCAGCAACATATTTTCTAACTGATTCAGTACAAGTTGGTGGCCAATGAGGATTACTGTAGGCAACATGGAAATTATATAAATGGTATGACACTATATATGTTGCCTTTCTTGCAAATATGCTCATTAACAAACAAAAAAATCATTAAACATGTTAAATGCAGACAATACTAATATTAAATATTTTATCCGGTTTTAAGTTTTTCTTCATGTTCTGTGTTGATTACCACATATACCATTCGTACAACACAAGACCTATACAATAATGAAAGCACAACATTTTTTGTTTGGCGAACAGTTATCATCGCTTTCACATAATCTTATAGATTTTCCATAACATTTCATATACTGAACATGGTCTGCAGGACATTTTTGAGGTCTGGTACCTGAAACAATAATTATAAATGAAAACATAAAATGTTTGGTCTTTCTTTTGTTTTTTTTTTTTTATCATGTTTATCTTTTGTTTTTTTTTTAAAATCTTACGCTTAAAAAAGTTGTACATTACATATACAAAAGATGTTGTTTATTACTTAACATATGAATTTACTCTTATATAGTATAGATAACTATATAACACGACATGTGTCACATGTGGAGCAGGATCTGCTTACTCTTCCGGAGTACCTGTGAGATCAACTCCAATTTTTGGTGGGGTTCGTGTAGCTCAGTTTTTAGCTTTGTATGTTGTGTTTTGTGAACTGCTGTTGTCTGTTGACATGTTTCTTTTTTAGCCATGGCGTTGTCAGTTCATTCACGACTTATGAGTTTGAATATCCCTTTAGTATATTCGCCTCTCTCTTTGAAGATTCATCATAAAGAACATCTCATTGAAAAAAATCGGTTAAAGGAAAATGGTATCAATGTTGTACTTCCTTTTGATTTTGTTATATACGTCAGTTGAACATCGAATATGACAAGTATTTACTAGTATCATGATCTTGACTATTATATATATTAAATTATATAGACTTGTATTTATTTCTTCGCATACTCAAATGATAGATGGAAAAAACGTTTCTATAAAAAAAGAAGATGTGGTATGATTGCCAATAAGACAACTCTTCGCAAGAGACCAAATGACACAGAAATTAAGAACTATAGGTCACCGTACGGCCTTCAACAATGAGCAAAATCCATACCACATATATATATATATATATATATATATATATATAGTCAGCTATAAAAGGCCCCAAAATAACAAATATAAAACAATTTAAACGAAAAACTAACGGCCTAATGTATGTACAAAAAAAAGAACGAAAAACGAATATGTAACACAGCAACAAACGACAACCACTGAATTAAAGGGTCATGACTTGGGACAGGCACATACATACATCATGTGGCTGGGTTAGACATGTTAGTGGGCGCCGAACCCGCCTGAGCTACTTCTTTGATTAATGACATCGAAGGTATTAAGGACGCCATTATGACTTGATCGATTAATTTGAATAAAGGCAACAGTAGTATACCGCTTTTCAAAAGTCATAAATTGATTGAGAGAAAGCAAATCCGGGTTACAAACTAAAACCGAGGGAAACACATCAACTATAAGAGGAAAACAACTGAACAACAGAAACACTAAAGGGCAAAAAAAACAAAACAAACGCCAACATACATAGAAACGGACTATTTGATAACAACTGCCATAATTATGACTTGGTACAGGACATTTTAAAAAAATAGTGGGTTGAACCTGGTTTTATGTCTAACCAAACCTCCAGCTTATATGGGCATGTTAAAAATATCACTAAAATGACAACACTACGTGACAGGGTTCCAATACAAACAAACGCAAGAACACTCAGCACAGAGAAACCCATAAATAAATAATATAATAGTACCTTCCAACATGTAAACCGCAGAATAACAACGGACATCTTCCTTTAACATGTTTAACAACAGCAAGGCACACGACAAACAGTGACG